AAGTGCATTCTCATGAACCAGATGACTTTCTAAACAGTGGTATGTGCAAGAAATCCCCAACATGTTTCTCAACATTTATGAGAGGCGGAGTCATTGTGCCTGACTGCTGAGAGAAGTTGACATCTGCCTCTACCCTCTGACCCTGTCACGGAGGACAATCTTGCCTTCCTCCATGATCTTTGGCATCCTCTTATTGATGCTGTCTTCTCTGGCATAGATTGTTGTCCCCAGCCAACAATGACAAGTCTCATCTTACAAAAAAAAAAAAAAACATTGAATGTTGCTGGAAGCAACAATTGTTTTATCCGAGAGTGTATGTGTGCAGATTTGAAACCTCACTAGAATCTGATTTGAATTTTAACATGCATCACAGGAGAATTGGCATTAGTTAATACAATCCAAGATCGCGACACCATTAAGGCAGTTGCATTTTTCTCTCTCTATCATCTCCTCAGTTGTAGTTGTGGAAACCTTCCTGGGTACCTTAAGTGCCTTTTCCTCAAGGCCCCATATGTTGAGAAAAATCCTGAGAAACCCCTAAGCATTATCATGTTTGAGTATCTCAGCAAACTTGTCATCAGCTAATTAGCTAAGCCTCCTCCAAAAACTGAAATGGGTGCACATTCTTTCTAAAAACTTCTAAGTCCCACTCTCTTTCTCATGTACTATATTACCACCTATATGGAGATTTAATGTGCTCGATTAGTCTCTTCAGGTTTTGATTTCAATTATGATGTTTATATCTCTAAAATGTGGGTGTGAAAGTATTTTTCTAGAATTTCTCAGATTTTATAAAGTTAACTAAAAATACTGAGTTTGCATTCCTTTGACAGATAAAACATTGAAATGGAATTCTTCTTTAAATTTAAATTTTATTTTTATATTCCCCATATCATTACAACCTCCTTATTTTGACCCCAAGCCCTCCTTTCCCTGCGTCCCACCCCCTCATAGAGTGTCTCTGGTTCATAGTTGTTTGTTGATTTTGATATTTTCTTTCTTATAGTTATTCTTTTTCCTGGTCCCTTATTTAAGTTTTCTAGATTCCTGCTATGAGTGAGACCATCTGGTATTTTTCTTTTTCTTTTTGGCTTTTTTCGCTGAGCATGATCCCTTCCAGCTCCATCCATGTTGCTGCAAATTGCATGTGTTGATCTTTTTTGAATGCTGAGTAATATTCCATGGTGTATATGTACCACATCTTCTTGATCCAGTCATCTATTTTTGGGCATTTGGGTTGTTTCCAAAGCTTAGCTATTGTAAACAGTGCTGCTATAAACATAGGGGTGCAGGTGCTCTTTGGAATTGATGTTTCTGTGTCCTTTGGGTAAATACCTAGGAGTGGAATTGCTGAATCATATGGAAGCTCTATGTTTAGTAGGTCAAGAAATCTCCACACAGCTCTCCAAAGTGGTTGGACGTTTGCACTCCCACCAACAGTGCAGGAGAGTTCCTTTTTCTCCACAACCTCATCAACATTTGTTGTTGCTAGTTTTTTTTAATATGTGCCATTCTCACTGGTGTAAGATGGTATCTCATGGTAGTTTTGATTTGCATTTCCCTGATTACAAGTGATGTTGAACATTTTTTCATATGCCCGTTGGCCATTTGCATTTCCTCTTCAGAGAAGTTTCTTTTTAGCTCTTCTGCCCATTTTTTGACTGGATTATTTTCTTTGTTATTGCTGAGTCTCATCAGCTCTTTGTAGATTTTTGTGATCAGTCCTTTATCATTAGTGTTGTGTGCAAAAATGTTCTCCCAGTCGGTGGGGTTTCCCTTTGTTTTTGTTATTGTCTCTTTTGCTGTGCAGAAGCTCTTTAATTTGATGTAGTCCCAGCTGTTTATCTTTGCCTTTACTATCACTGCTTTGGGTGATGTGTCTGTAAAGATGTCTTTGATGTGCATATCATGTAGTGTTTCGCCTATATTTCCTTCTATGTATTTTATGGTTTCAGGTCTTATGTCTAGTTCTTTAATCCATTTTGAGGTGGTTTTTGTGCATGGTGTTAGGTAGTAGTCAAGCTTCATCCTTTTGCATGTAGCGACCCAGTTTCCCCAGCACCATTTATTGAACAAACTTTCTTTGCTCCAATGCATATTCTTTGCTCCTTTTAAATGGCATTCTTAAGGAGACTCTCCCTAATGCTGGAGACAAGGAAACAGCTCCTGTGCCACATGTTTGCACAGCAAGAACAAGATGTCATGCCACAGCTTGCAAGTGTGTTCTTTATGTTCTACGCTGTGCATCATTACTGAGAGACTCTGAAAATAAAAGTATAAATTCATAATTATCAGACCATGGTTTTGGTGATTCCAATGTAGATTTTGGCTGTTTTCTGTAGGTATTTTTGGTGTGTTTTTTTATTTTCCTCTTTTATAAGATTTCAATTAATTGTTTTTAATGAACATTCAAGCCACTATGACTTTCAAACATTCGATCAGAAATGTCACAGCCACATGCAATTTTAGGCTGATGTATTTTCTCTGTGTATTCTCCATTATAAAGAGGTCAATATAACTAGCAATTCAACTATGGTTTTGTGGGCTGATAGTACCTTATTGAAAGTTGTGCTGAAAACCAGCAACTTAAATTTTCTTTCTCTGAATTTCCTTCCCAAGAAGTGGTATAACACTATATTTTGGGCTGTTATAGATCTTGTGATGAAAGTTAATGAATTTAAACTCTATTATTCCAAAGATATACATTAAGTTCTCTAGCAGGGCTCTGAAATTGGATTTTAGATTCAATGCTAAATTTCAAAACCACAATCTCAATGAAGCATTTGAATCCAACATCATATGTTGGAAAGAATGTCAGGAAGCTATAGAATGTGCTCTCTGATTTTCTGCTGTTGTAATTACAACCTCTCTCAAAATTTTTGATGAAAGTTTGCATGGAATGCCCTATCCATGTAAGCTTTTGCTAACAGAAACACTGTTATTTAGTAACACATTTCCATTCAGAATTAGTTCTTTCTTGGTCAATGCAGGGCTGTGCATTGCTGAGGATAAAATTTCTATTAAATCGATGTGAATTCAAATATGCCAGGATGATGAATTCTCCACTTGGCTCAGTTCAGTATTCTCTTCTTCAGCAAATATTTATTCAAAAATAGCCTTTGAGATATATTTTGTGTCAAGTTGAAAAATTATTCCCCCACCAGATGGGAATGGCACTTTGCATTTGCCCTCAATGGCAAATAATCTTTCCATGGAACCAGCAGAAAGATTACCCCATCTTGTCTATTGCTTCCATTAATCAGTGCCATGCTGTCTAATGCTTTAGAATGAATGTCTTTATTTTTCTTTTTCCAGGGGACCTTTTATGATTATATGTGACAGAGCCAACTTATTCCATAAGGCCACTTTTAAGACATTCCCTTGAATTTCAGAATGTGCAAAGATAGTGGTTAAATATTCTGTCATGTGATAATAGAGTCTCCTTTTTTCCCATTTGGGAAATTTAATTTTCAGGTCCCCCACTGGCCATCTAGTCATGTTTTGATCTCAAGCAAACAAGCAAATTATCTTCCAGTTATAAAATGCCTCATAAATTTAAAAAGGAAAAACTTGAAGAGATGTTCACTATCCTAATTGAACTAAAACAAAAATGTAAATATAAAATAGTTAAAATGGCTTATTAATAGTAAGTCATTAAAATCTGTAGGTGAAAAATGGTAAAATATTCAAGTAAACACAAAACATTATAAATACATGAATTTCTCCTGAAGTAACTTATAATTTAATGCCCTTCCTATCCAGATCCTAGTATTTGATTTTGATTTGCTTTTCTCTGAAACAGGCTCTTCTCAAAATTGTTGTGCAGGTCTCTTGGGTGGGAGTGGGGGAGAAATGAAGATAAAATGTTCAAAAAAAAATCTTCAAAACAAAAGAAGAATGAACAAAACGGTCATGCAGTGCCAAAATGTTAGGGCATCTTAACAGTAGTCTGTGGATCAGGAATTTGTAAAGAGAGAAACAAAAAAGTAAATTTAATGAAATGAGTCAGAGAAAATACCATTTGATTTCACTGTGTGATAAAGGAAAAAACATGAGTTTAGTATGAGCTTACTAAACTAAACTTTAAAACTACATGAACAAAATAGTGGTTATTAGAAAGGAAGAGGGAGGAAGGGTGAATATACCAGGTAAAACGGGGCATCTGTATGGTAGTGGATGGAAACTGGTCTTTTTGGTGGTGAACTGTTGAATATAAGGATGTTGATTTATAAGGTTGTACACCTGAAACTTATAAAATCCTATCAATCAATGTTCCTTCAATTGAAAAAAGCTGTAAGAGCATCATGCGAACTTTTAAAAAATGAAGTCAGAAATAGTGTTGATTGGACTGTCTCTTTGGGGGAGTTAATTTTGTTCTCTATGTGGAAAGCAAGCAAAAGACACTATAATAAGAAACTGCGAAATTTAACAAAAATCCTTGTGTTCCGATCCATTTCCTAATCTCAGTTGCTATTGATCTGCAGCACATAATTAAGAGATCTATCCAGAACTGATATAAGATACTTCCACCACCTTCTTTAAAGCATTCTGCACAATCTGACAACTTTCTCTCCCTTTGCCCCTTGTAAATGTGGAAGTCTCATGTTTCATAGGATGACTATAACTTACAAGGAGCCTAAATCCCTGAGTCATCCCTTGGAAGAGAGCACCTTCAAAACGTTACCTTAACAACATCTGCCTGTGAGCTAAGAAAAAATACATATTTGTTGCATTTTAAGAAAACTGATAAGCACTTTAACATGATAGATCTATGTATTCCTGCCCTGAATAACCAATTTCTGTCTTATTTAACTCTACATTAAACATTAACTGACAAAATAATATTTTAATGATTAAAAAGAAGCTAGAATGTTTTGAAAATGATAAAATGAATTACTAAATCTCACATTTCAGAAAATTGTTCCAAACAAGAAAATAATACATGTAATTCCCAAGTAAAAGAAGGTTCTATGATTGATATTATTGCTCTTCTTTACTAGGTTTTCCAGGGAAATTTTGACAATGATACCCACAGGAAAAATGTCATCGACCCTCCAATCTACGCAAGACACATAAGAATCCTTCCTTGGTCCTGGTACGGAAGGATTACACTGCGGTCGGAGCTGCTGGGCTGCACAGAGGAGGAGTGAGGACACCTCGCTCCCCACAACCTCCTTTCTATTTCCTTAGAAGTATCTCCATGGAATGAACTGTGCAAAACCTGTAGGAAACTGAATGAGGTTTTTCATGAAAAGTGCTCAAATTATGGTAGGCCACTGTCTTTTTTTAAAAAGGTCTAAGCTTGCTTTTTCAATGGTTTAATTTGATTTTATTATTTTAATTTCTTAACATCATATCTGTGATTCACTTTCCTCATTGTTTTGTGAATTATTCACAACTGGTTGAAATATATTAGGGAATGAAAGATACTTTTGATAGCAAGAGTAAAAAATAATCTCATAGTAATCAAATAAAAGCAAGAGTTATTAAAGCTTTTATAATCAATACTCAATTAATAATTATGAAATACTGCAATGTTAGCAATAAGGATTTTTTTCTTCTTCAGTGACTCTCCATTACTCTAAATAGTTCCCTGTGCCTACCAAACACTCAGCATTTATAACAGAATTTTGAAGATGAATCTGTTACATGCAGTACTAGTAATTGATATTATAATATCCATAATATTTCTAGTCAGAAATGATGTGACCTTTATTCTTGGTTTTATGACATTTTCTTTATAATGTATATAGCCTGAATAAGTTCACACTTTTTTTCCAATTGCTTCTTCCTATTGTTTGCTGAGGAGGTATCACATTTGTTTATATATGTGGAACATGATTAAATATCAGTAGATTGATCATATTTAATATCAGTAGATTAAATCTGCAGTTCTATTTTTGAAGGAAGCTATAACTGTAATTTCTAAGTACTTCCTTTATAAAGTACTTGATATACCGTTTTGCAAAATAAGCAGGAACAAAACTGCATTAAGTTCCTTTAAACTAAAATTTAAAACTTTGTTTTGATAGTATTTGCATAGCCTTATCTTTACTTTAAAATACTACAATCATTAATTCTTTGTCTATTACATAAGCATTTTATCAAACAAATATTAATATAGCATTATATAGCTTGGCCAAGCATACTCATCATTTTTTTGTTCATCTCTGCATTTCATGTGAATTTTATTAAAATTTAAAACTGGTGATGGTTTCCCAGGAAAGCACATTGGGTAGTTATTTGTGAGAAGAAAAGTATTTACTAGTGACAAAGTAGTAAACCATTTTCAAGATGAAAATTGATTTCTATTTATTTTGCTTCAAAGGTCTTGTAAAAATAAGCAATTATCATGACAATTTGTTATTGATAATGGAGGTTTCATTGACATGTCTCTCAAATTAAAGCTCACACTGCCTCCATAAAAGTGTTCAGCATCTGATTTATAAGCTTTATAAGTATTTCTTTTATTAGGCTTAGACACAGAATTATTGGAGTTCTAAGTTAAGGGTCCTGGAAAAGAAAGAAAGGTATGTGTACAAAAAGTTGAGGTCCTGTGCAACACTGCTAAGTTTTTCCCCGTTATTATTTGTGCCACATAACAAAAGCCACTAGACTGTTACTGTCTTGTCTGTCCATGTGTTTACAACATTTCTTGATGTATATATATGGAGTGGTCTTCAATTAGTCTGAAGAACTTAAAGAGAAAGTCAATCATAATGGCATTTCTTAATAAGAACAAAATTAAGACTGGCTGGTCACATACTTGTTCTATGTCCACATGCTTTTTAGTTCACATTTGTGTTATGATAGTGCTGATTTAAAGTTTCTGAAATGGTGATCAGTTTTCAGCGTCTTTTAAAAACAGAATTGCCATACCCTCAGTATTATCTTTTTTTTAAGATAACTTTTAAATTAGGACTCTAAAATATTAATTGGTTAAATTTTAAAATCATGTTACAAAAATTACTTAACCCTAAAGTATATACAAACTGTTTAGCCATTGATCCTTCTTTAAAGATTTACTGTTTCACTAAATTTCATGCCATTTTCCTTTGCAGATTATGCACAATTCTTCATTCTAGGCAGGGTATGTTTTTGAAACTATGAATAATGCATTATAATGATTTACTTTCTCAAAGATATTCATGGCTTCTTAATATTTTAAATTTTACTCTATTATTAGATTTTTAAACAAATATTTTCAAAGGGAGTTTGTGGAAATCATACTTGTTACGTTTTAGAGATTCATTGAAATGGCTTTCTCTTGCTTGTGCATTTTCTCTGGACTCCATGCCCTTCACCAATGTGGAGTAACCAATGAGGTATCTATTTGTCCCATGGTGCCCAAAGTTCATGATATCAAAAGACTGTGCATAATTATTATGAAGTAGTAAATACCTTTTGTTTCATATCAATGATATCAAAGTGCAACATTTATTCTATTTTGAATTGACACTAAAACAAGTGACATAAACAGAATGTACAGAAGAATTACCTAATCTTTACCATATTGCTAATTTATATCAACAAATTAAAATTTTAAATATCTCCATTTTATCTATATCATATTAAAAGCATTTATCATAGTCACTAATTCTAATTTTAAGCTTGACTTTCTCTTTCTGAATGGCTTCATCTGAATTGCTGTGGATTTTGAAGACTTAGGGTATGAATGATTGTATCTTTGCTAGTCAACAAATTATGAAATATGATACTCACTGCTGGCATCAGCGTGTCAGTAAGTACAAAATAACTAAGACACAAATAACCTTTGCAAACTTTGAAGCTGTGTAATATTCCAATGTTGTTTTTTTCTTTGTATATATACTTAAATCATGTAGGATGTTGTAAAATCAGTATGACCTTGTCTAGTCTTCAAACTTAAAATAAAACTTTTCAAAAGCTGGGATACTTTTGAAGCAGTTGTAATTAAACACATTTGAAAGAATACACAAATTGTCTGAATGTGAATCCCCCCTACTCTGAACTGCAGACTTGGCTACATTTTATTTTGTACAAAACAACTGAACAAATACAGGAAAAAATCCAAATTATAATTGTCTTCAACTATATATACATTAATATCAGCTAAATTGAACTTTCCAAATTATCAAAATATATGCATATCTCCTGCTACTTTTATCTATGGAATCTTTACTAGGATACTATCAATAATAATCAAAAAGATGACTAGTAATTCAGTCTTTGATTTTTGTTTTTGCCTAATATACATTTAAATCTTGTGTTTCAGAACTGATGTCCTATTATTAATCAAATTCTATTGTTTTTATTTCTGTGGTTTTTTTTTTAAGTTCATGATTCCCAGGAGTATAATGAAGAGATTCAGTCAGCAGTAAGCAATACAAACACTAATAATGGAACTAAACCTATTGTTTAAAGAAAATATACTTAGATTCATCACAAACCCCATTTGTGCGTTTCTGAAATTTACTGATGAAATACTTACTGAGCCTGTGTAATTCCCAATTTTTATATATTTTGTTAGGATTCAAAAAAATAGGAGAAAAATTAAGATGTAAAATGTTAACTACTTAGCTGAGTTTCAATGACTCTGATAGTTCTCGTTACTGATTTACTGTCCATGTTTATGTGTACACACGTTCCTATTTAATTTCATCTTGTTGTGAATATTTCAATAGCGTTCATTACTTGCTTAATTTTTGCACACACAAACATACACAATTGTGCTTATAATAAGTAAATGATTATACATATGTGTATTCCATAAGGCAAAAAAGAGGCATGACAACATCTATAGAAGATAAAAATTCCTGGTGATAGCTCAAAAATTATTCAGTGGAAAATTTTCAACTATGAAACTTTTAAAACTACTGATTCAAGATGTAAAAATAATAGAAACATTTAGAGTTCTAAGGAGGAAAGTCTGACCATGATGCAATATATTTTGAAAACTATTAATAATAACATCATGAATAAAAAATATTCTCCCTAAGTAGCCTAAAATATTAAAACACTTCAGCTTTGAAAACATGGTTTTAAATAAAGATTTTGGTAAAGAAACATTTAACAATCCAATTATTGTTATTTGTGAAAATTTTTTCCTTTAGATGCTAGAGCCCCTTTAATCGGACCAGGTAAAATGTAGGAATGACCACATTGCTAGTTGAGAAATATCTCAACTACTCCAAAACAGAATGAATTGTCATTTGTCTTTACAAAGAAAGAATACCTGGCACAAGTTGCAATTTTTCTATTGATTTTGAAAGGGGAAATAGGATCCCTTGATTCTATTGTAGTAAGTGGCTATAATTCATATTGAATGTTTCAACATTGCCACCAAATAAAGTGTTTTCCACAGTAGACAAGTGGCACTTAATCAAAGAGTTATTTCTATTAGATGAATTTGGTAGCAGAAATGGGAAAACATTTTTGGAAAAGACTCCTCATTTAGTTGTTTTTGCATGTCTTGGCAGGAGTGCACTGAGTCATTTAAAAACACCAATGTGTGGAAATAGGGTAGAGTAGCATCGGCAAATGATCACCGTGTTGCATGATCAGCATTGCATGTGGTAACTGTCTCTGATTCAATTTTATGTTAAAGCCCTCAAAGGCATGAACCACACCCTTTCTTATTTATGTAAAATTACCATAATGCTGCTCATGTGTCCGCATATAAGTATGTTAATAATGATGGTGAATTGCAACATAACCTTACCCTGGCTGCCACCTGGAAAACAGGAGTGATGGTCATGAGACTGATGGCACTTTCAACAAATACACCCTCATGGCCAGTGTGGAAACAATGTTGTGATAACTTAGATCAGGCCCAAACTACAGAGAATAAATAAAGACGTACAACTATGTGCATATGAGACAGAAGGAAATTTTCAGTGAGAAATGATTTATGTGACATAGATTTACAAATATTTTATAATTGTCCCATTTTTAATGATCATAAAGCAGAAATTTTAACAAATAATTTATAGGGTCTGGCCTCTTAGAAAGAAAACCATAGCGGGCCAGCAGCTCTGGCTCTTCTCAAAGCCACTGGTATTTTCTGTCTGGCCCCAGGAAAAAAGAATCTCACCAAGAAATACTAAATAATCAACATCAAGCAGTTTAACTTGCTCAATTCTCAAATTTCTTAGGTCATAATATGGAAGAATGCTATTTTTTTTTCTCAAGAGCCAAAGTGTCCTTCTGTTGACTGAGTGTATCCATCCCAAATTCATATGTTGAAAATCAAACCCCTTTCAAAGGTGATGTTATATAGTAAGTGGCCATTTGGGAGTTAACCAGGTCATGAGATGTGGCTCTCATGAATGGGAACAGTGCTCTTATAAAAGATGTGAGCTCCCTAGCCCCTGCACCATGTGAGGACACAGCAAGGTTTCAGGTAAGGACCAGGAAGTTGACTTTCACTCGACCATACCGGTACCTTGAACTTGGACTTCTCAACCTGAGAATGTGTGAGCAAGAAATTTCTGGATATGAGACACCCAGTCTGTGGTATTTTGTCATAGCAACCTTTGTTGTAACAATGGACTAAGACAAATCCTAAAAAAAAATCCTGTTTTTTAGTGGCATAAATACCTTGAGATTTCTGGCTTGCAATGTGCACTGAGATTCCAAGATCTTAAAAAATAGTAAAAATGCTTCTCAAACTTAA